TAGATTAAAAAATATAGTGCTGTATTGATAAATTGTTTTAAGTCAAAATAATATCACTGTTTACATCACATAAACAACAATATTCTTTCTTTTCTTTACAAATTTTTAAAGCAGATTTTTTTCAAGTTTTTAATATGGAGGGGGGAGGGGGGTTACCCTTAAGACTGTTTCATCATTCTCACATCTGTGGAGGTTTGAAACCTGTGCCCTCTGAATACAGTTATATTCATTTTACATCTCAGAAGTAGTGTGGATTTGACCTTTGCTCAAGCTTTATTTCCATTTGTTTTAGCTGAAACTGGAGTTGAGTCAGAAGTCAGAAGGTGCCACAAAAGGAGGGACATTTGTGATGTACAATTATGCCAGACTGGCCACTCTCATGGCTCACTTCGATGAAGCAGTGGTCAAAGGTAACAGTGATCTGCCTCAAGACTGACCAATATATTTTTTTATGTCTCCTCATTAATAGCATAATCACAAAAATTGTATTCATTTTGTCATTTTCATCCACACAAGTGGATGCATATGTTACAGTGAAATAAACTAAACTAAACTAAACTTAAATATTAACCCAAGCCAAAGGATAAGTAAATGACAAACACAGATATATAGTGTTCGAAATTTGGCCGGTATTGGCCGCTTTTATTGAAAGGTCCTTCTATTAAAGAATGGTGTTAGATATTATATAGCATTAAATAATGTTAATTAGTTAAAATTACCTAATGTTATCTCTTAAAAATAAATATCAAACCAAATAGTGCAAATATTTTGATTTGTGGGGTTGCAAAGAGGCCAAATTTCTACACTTTCCCATTTCTTCTTAGATTGGCTGCCTTTCAAGGACCCAGTAGGTATAAGACCTGAAAATCTATTTCTTTTGGTTTTACAGGAATGTTTCCACCACTACCAGAGTGTTGGCAGCTGGACTTCTCTGCACTTAGAGAAGAGGTAGGAGTTGCATTTGTTCTTTTGGTTTTAAAATACCATCACAACTGCACCTTCTTCAAGTTTCTGGTCATAAATTTGACTTACTTATTTTCCCTCCTGTTTGTAAAGCATAGAGAGAAAGCAGAAAATACCTGTGAAAATATCATATAAAATTTTCAGGAAAAAAAACCATGGTCTTTTTTTAAGCTACATCATTTGAAACTACATGGTGGCATTTGGCCACATTTAGCTGCAATAATTTGACATATCAAGTACTGGTACTCACTTGATAGACATATTTAATACACTTAGTGATTGGTACTCTTTATACCCAATGCCAACTAATTTCCAAGTAATTTGCGCTGATTTTATGGACTGTTCTTAAAACACATGCAGTAAACATGTAAAGTCACTGCCAATTCCTTGTCTTATTTTTCAGGAGGAATGGTTGCTCCTCTTCAATTACATCCTGCCATTTCCCAGTCTTGTGGAGGATTGTGTGGGGCCATTTCACCCTGGGGATCCTGGGGCAAAAATAGACACACACAAGGTATGTGGCTTACTTTATGTGTTGGTGCATCACGTTTGTGTGGGACCAATTCACAGTGGGGTTCTCAGGGCAAAACTAGATCAACATTTGTATTTGGCCTTGACCCACTACATGTCATGGCACACAAGAATGTCAGTCAGTTAGTTCATACTCATCATGGGAATTTGTTTTTCAGATTTAACTTACTGTTTTTATTTTTTGTTGATTTAATCTAGCATGTTAAAAAAACAGAGTTATCTCCAAAAAGAATGCCAGATTATTTTATGCTTCTTTCTAGATTTGGAAGCAATGGGCTTTGTAGTAAACTACCACAAAGCTTCTTGTTTTGAGACAAGCTTTTATCAACTTGAAATATAATAATTATATACTTGGGAATTGATATTTTAATGTGTTTGAATTGTTTAATTAACAGTATAGGTGTAGTTTAGATATAAAGCTTCTGTTTTGATATGAGGAATCCTGCTGAATATTTTGTTTTTTCTACAAATTTTAGGTTTGTAATTTTCTCCTCAACTTGAGCAGGGATCTCAGCTCCTACTATGGCAGAGTCCATGTCCTTGGGGTATGTTTACTTTGAGTTGACTGTGTATGTCTACTCATTGTGCTAAATAAAATAACACATTCAAAGAAAATTTAGTCACAATGCAGTCTCAAAGTGGATTCTGTTAGTATTTTGGAAGACATGAGCCAAAAGTTTTAGACTGTGTTCAATGGTGGCTTTTAATGTTGTAAAGAATTGTAAGTACAGTTATTTTGTCTTAGTTTGACCAATTCAAACATATTGACATAGAAAATTGCAATTTTTATATATTTTAAATTAGTATCTTTTATCACAGGCAGAGCCATATAAAATTGAAAAAAAAATTTTTTTTGAAATTTCAGGAGCCATTTCCTCACCTCCTTCCCACCATGTATTGCAGACTACATCTATTAAAGGGAGTGCAATATGTTATGTCCAGTGCCTTTAGACTGCTAGGCATTCAACCTCTAACTCAGATGTAAAGCATGTCCAGCAGCAAGTGACCATCACCAAAATTTTGGATTTTTCACTTAGGGCCCCTTTACACTGGACGGCGTCCTTTCTGCGTCCAGCAGTACGGTCCCATTTGAGAGTTAAAAAATAATAATAATTTACGTGCCGACAACTGGCCGATCATTGAGCATTCATTCTGATACAAAATCAATGCTCGTGTCTCCTTATTGAGACCACAGCGATGCCAAATTTCATGGTCGCAGAAAGGACGCCGTCCAGTGTAAAGGGGGTATTACTGTTACCCCAATCTTCTCTGGTGAATGCCAACTTTATCTTGGAATTTCTACTTAGTCTGGGGCATTTCTGAGCTGGCATACATGTGGGACACGTGTTAGAAGTTACCATCGCCTAGTTTGGGATCTTTGAGTTTAGATTACCACAAACTTCAGTTCTTATGCATGCCAGCTCATTTTCAAAACTCCACATCAACTAGGCAAAAGTGGATGTGGAATATGTATGCATTTTAAAGGTAAATGTGGAAATCTGAAAATATACGATATATATACAAACTATATTTACGGATATGAATTGCATATTGTATTTAATTCATAAGAACATTACTTCTGATGGTCAACATGACATTTTTGACAATAAAAAAAGAACAAAAGCTGTTTGTGTTTCTATGGGTAGGTTTACTTTTTATTCTAATTCACTCCATTGCACATTATTATCCCCAACATAATATCTTTACAATTCAAGCTCACATATGAGATGCCTTATTCATATCTACAAACCTGAACATTTTGTCAAAAAATACCCCCCCCCCCTCAAAATAATAAATAAATAAAGTAAAAAAAAAAAGCTGTACACACTCAAACAATCTGTATGTTTGAATCTATTTTCTTCCCAAAAAGGCACATTCTTCAGGTCACTTTTTAAATCCCAACCAATCTAATATAGAAAAGTATGTACAAATGTCTTCTTGAAATCACAATGCATTAGTTCTATTTCGCCTCTATTAGCTTCATGTGCCTTCCCACTGACAGCTTCTATGTAGAGAGAGAAAAAGGGGGAATTTCTTTCTCAAATCTCACTGATGCTTTAATGCCACTTTGCCTTTCAAGATGTAATTGCCATTTTTGACTGTAAATTAGCATCTTATCTCCATCATCAAGTTGTTGCTGATCTAGAACCTAGACAAAAAGAGATCGAAGGCCTAAAAATTAAGACTAATCTTTTTAGAAAAAAAAAAAGTCTGCGAAATAAGAAGCTGGGTAGGAGGCATTTTTGAATTTGTCGTTTACCCCCCCCTGTGCCAAGTGTGATCTTGAAAACTCAAAGGGGATGCTATTCAGAAATAAGAATAACAGAAAAAAGGAAAACAGAATTATCTGGTAGCATGAACAGGTGGGAATATCTCACCCAAGGGTATTAGAATCATTTCAAGGGTATTAGAATCATTTCAAAAATATTATGCTACTGTACTTGCAAAAATTCCCAATTAATTCAAAACTGTTACAACAAAACAACGAAGTTTTGCTCGTAAAAAGAAAGACTAGAACCGAAACCTAACAGAAAGCATCTATGACTCATTTGAAGGCTTTCAATATTTTTTTCATTTCCAATAAATAAACAGAATGAGCTCTTAAATTATATTCAGAAAGAAAAAAAAACTATTGCAACTTTGGCTTGGCACTCCAATGTAAAGGTTGCCACACAGGCAAGGATAAGCAGTAATTTTATAAAATCCAAAAAGAATATTTCTGTATCTCCACCTCACTTGAAATTATCAGTCCGTGAAAACCATTATTTCTACACCAACCATTCATGTCACTTAAACTACTGTATCAATATCAGTCTTCACAAACATTCCCTGTGCTCTAGACATTATATAATTAAATAAATTTAACTAACAGGATCGGTTTTTACCAAAAGACAGATATTTTGCCATAAGCATAAAAAATGGGTGAAATGAAAAAATGTCATACTTTGGAATCCTCAATACCAAGATGACAGTGCAAAAGGGAGTTATTTACATAGAAGTTCAAAATATCAATGATAATGAAGATTTTCAACTCGCTAAATGATTCTGTACATGAAAGAGCCTTTGACAAAGTACCCTCTTGAATTAAAGCCTTTTTAAGAAAATAATGAACTATTTACAAACTGTAATGTCTTCTTTTCCATAAAAAATCCGACAGTGCATTCTCAACTTCTTCCATGTGATAAAACTTGCTTTCTCTTAGAATAATGCAGCAAACAGATCGATGTGCAGTCTGGGAGAGTGAAATCTCATTGTGAAAGACATTTCAGTGTACAAATGCTGCCAGGTTTTGAGTAGCCATAATTGGAATGAGCATATAAAAGAGGAAACCGTCTTCTTTAAATCTCAACTCTCTTAAATGGGAAATGCTCCGATACTTCTACTGTGTTCTCTACTCGTGCAAAAAATGTCTTTCATGTTTCCACAACCAAGCTGATAAGAGATCTTTCTAGGTAATATGATTTAGGGAATTCCTTTTTGATGGGACTCGTTGCAGGACACCAGTTTAAGGTAACTGCTGCAGACGTGACCTTCAGCCTATCTCTCCCAACCATTTATAACGAAAACTGGGCAGCACAACTGTCAGGGAAACCAAACTGCCAAAAGAGATCATTTCCATGAAAAGTTTGTTCACCTGCTGGATATGAAAAACCCAATACAAAATGGTCTATATGAAGACGGGCAGGGATATGTCCCCATTTGTCCTAAACTGCACGTCCTGTTCCTCTTTCTCGCGAAGAGCACTACCATTGATGACGGCCTCTATACTGCTCAGCCACTGCTTCTTGTCGTGCTCATCGTTGGCTTGTAACGTATGCGCCTGACCCTTGGAGGGGTTTTTGAAGGACACCTTGAACACATGTTTGCCTGGGAGGAGAAGAACAAAGGGTGATCACACATATCACAGAAATGAGTAACAGTTTCTACCACATCCAACTCTACATTGAGAATGGACTTAGTAATAATAATAATAGTTATGTTTACAAATTAGTTCACTTATGTTCTTGAAGCAGGTGGTAATTCTGATGAAAATGGTGACTCAACAGAAAACATTTAGTACTAAGATAATTTCTAAATCAACAGAATGGTTTTTTAACTTTAAGTTAGTATGGCATGATATATACATATATATATATATACTTAGGATACCTTTTTAAAAACACAAAAACTACTTACAAGTCTGACCCTGAGCAAAAGCTGTGCGAAAAGAGCCCATTTTTATCTCTCCGTCCTTGAGATCCTCCAGGACCAGTTCGCTGGCAGGAATGGGTTGGCGGTAAACCTGATTTTTCTTGCTGCCCTCGCGGGTGGCTGGTCGCGTCAAGACCAGTGCGCGGTCAAATAGGAATGCATTCACTTTCTGGAAAGATGATGAATAAAAGTTTGGATAAATTCATCACTGCTGAGGAACCTTTATGCTTTGAAAATATCAGATTAAGAAAAGTTTCATTCCCCCTGCCCCCCCCCCCACCNTTGAGATCCTCCAGGACCAGTTCGCTGGCAGGAATGGGTTGGCGGTAAACCTGATTTTTCTTGCTGCCCTCGCGGGTGGCTGGTCGCGTCAAGACCAGTGCGCGGTCAAATAGGAATGCATTCACTTTCTGGAAAGATGATGAATAAAAGTTTGGATAAATTCATCACTGCTGAGGAACCTTTATGCTTTGAAAATATCAGATTAAGAAAAGTTTCTTCCCCCCCAAGTTTATCACGAGTTAAATTGAACAGTCTGCATTTGGTGGATTTAACTAGAAAGTGACCCATCCACTTTCAATTTGACAAAAAACAAATACAGTAACAGTTTAAGTTTTCAATTTTCCCCATTAATAGAATTGCCATACTACAAAGCTGCATTAACTTAAGAAGGGAGCAACTTGACTTACCGTCCCCCTAGTGTTTTTTAAGGAGCCCTCACACAGTAATGCTCTGGACTGCCCCAGCAGGTATTCAACCTGAAACACACAGAAAATAATACATTTATACAAGTGAATAGAGAATGAGATACATATGAGACCTTGAAATGGTGCAGAAATATTTAAAGCTGGCAAAGTATTTCTTTCCTTGAATTTGAGGTCTTGAAATGAGGCAAAAATGTTCAAAGTTAAAGCAATTCATTTTAAGACCTCATTTTTCCCTCTATAGATTAAGCCTCTTGAGCAAATTGCTCTTGTCTTGACAACAGTTTTTCTACTATCAAGATATCAACTTTTTATAGTCAGTGATTCTATTTACCTTTCTAAGCTAAAACCAATAGACTAGATTTTATTTATTTATTTATTATTTTGCTATACTGCCCCACCATACTAAGATACAGAAGTTGTACCACAGTCAAAACTCACCTCTGTGGATTCTTCCAAAAACTCCAGTTGCGACACGACGAACCTGCATTTCGAGATCCCCGTCTTCTCGTTGACCTCGCTGATTATTTTTTCTACCACTTCAACCTGGAAACAAATACAAAAAGGAAAAATATATATACAAGATGAAGAAATCCCTGCAATATATGATACTGAATTTTAATTGTAGTGCATGTGCATGCATGTATGTACAAGTGCACATGCACAACAAAATTTTATTTCCACAAAAATAGTCAATATGTGAAAAGCATGATGAAGTCTCGTGAAAACTTTGAAAAAAAAAAAAAAATGTTGATGAACAGAATGCGTCAATGACATACTTCAATGATATTCATGAGAGTATACTGATATTATAATTCATCTTACATACATAATATTAAAGCAATAATAACTCTTCGTTTCGGCCAAAAAATGAATTTTCCTGGAGTAAACAACAATTTTTCCATACTTACCAATGGTTATTGAATCCATTTTTACATTCAAAGTTAGTCCCTGGTTTTTTTCTAAAAAGTTTGTTTTTTTGTTAAAATCTCTTAAGAGATTTTAACAGAGTATAGACATCAATGGAGGTCACGTGGTCTAAAGACAAGTTCAAATATCAGAATAAAAGCTATAACTGCTGTTTTTGTGGTAAAACAGAATATATTATATTTCTATGAGTTATTCACAAGGTTTTTATCGTGAAATATAGGTCTCATACGAAGAGTTATTATCCCTTTAAGATTTCTGCAAAAAGCTTGAACATATGTCTATACTCACAGCATCATCTAGCAGTTTTTTGTCTTCATGTTCATTCTTTGTCTGAAAGGAGACATGGAACTGATGTTCAAGAAATCGCTTATACGTAACCCCTATCTATACAACACTCATCGCAATGCTTGCAAATAACAACCTTGAAGGTAAGTTACAAATTTTATTGAAAGGGTTTGTGATTTGGCCAATCCACATCGCTTTAATTAAAAACAAACCCTTCATGATTAATTGCTTTTAAACTTAGTCAAACTGTCATGCAAGGCAGAATAATCATTTAACACATGACACATTACTTTTGACACAACCAAACTTGCAACTAAAGCTGCTAGAATTAACATCAATGCTACAATATGCCTCAGAGATGAACTAATGAAATGAAACACTAAGTAAAAAAAACCCAAAAAAAACTCAAAAATAACACTCACATATTTCTGGATTTTCTTTAGTAAAAGAGGATATTTCACTAGTCTGCTTCTGGGCACATCTGAAAATTGAAAAATGAAATGTTTGTAAGCAACATTTTTCGTAATACAAAGAATCACAACAATGAATATCCTCTTCATAGCTTATGTTTAAATAATTTATATTTGCAATTCTTTTCCTAACATAGAATTCCACTTCATTTAATAAAAACCTTATATAATGATGATCGCATTTCACCACCAACCCTTATTATTTCTCATTATCTTTATCCTTATTGTGTAAGATTTTTCCTTACATTAATACAAATAAATAATAACACTGACAGGCTTTTACAAGAGAAAATGCTACCTCAGATGTAAGCAGTGCATCAGGCGTACCTAAAAAGCTCCACAGGTCCAGTCTCCGGCTGAACGGCGACTCGTAACACCTCTGCAGGAAATCGTCCACTTTTTTCTGGTGTTTCTTTTCATCAAGGAGAGCCTTGGCAAACACTTGGTTGGCACAGTACTCGATGTAACAGCGTAAACACGGAAGCTGGGTAAAAAACAGGAAGGAAAGACGACTTAATATATATACTAATGATGTTTGTCACACGCACATTGGTTCGCTCTTAGATTACAGAATTAAGTACCAGTCTGGGAGATTAACCATGCAAATGTCTCCAGTTTCCTTCCATTATTAATGGCTATATGCATACTACATGGCAATTTGCTCCAAATTAAACACATAATTTGAGAATTAAGCATGCAAATGCCCATAATCTGTTTTTTTTTTTTTTTTAATACAGAATCTCCCAGTTAGGGAAGATGTAGAAAACTGAGACTACTTTTTTGAAGTCCAATCTTATCTATAATATTGAATATATAATTGAAAATGACTCATCAAGGTGAAAAAAAAAGCTTGTCACGTGGATGACAGGCAAGGAAAAAATTCTACTTCTATTTCAAATGAGCATGTGCGAGTGAAAAAAAAAAAAAAAAAAAAAAAACAAGCTCCTCATGCTGGCACAAATTTCAAACTCTATTTCATGACAGTATCTCTGTCAGTAATGAAGCAGTGAAAAGGCTCACCCAGTCCACTAAGATCTTTCCTATGCTGTCTATGGATCCCTCAGTATTCTTCTGGCTGCTCAGCTTGGACACCAGGTCTGCAGAAAAAAAATTCAAATGAAAAATGAATTAATTTAGGGTGAGAATACACACTTATATGTGTTTTTTGCAATATGATACACTTCATCTGCAATACACAAACAACAGTTAAAATCAGTTACTTTTTGGGCTTCACTAGTCCAGTGTTATTGCACAAATGATGAAATTATTTACAAGAGTAAATATCAGATTAACGTCTTTTGTAAAGATTTCTCAATGTCTGATCCGCAAAAAAGACTTTTTTTTTTTTGGGGGGGGGGGGGGGGGATTGTGATAATTTTAATTAAAATTATTTACCTTTATGTATTGGCACCAATTCCTCTATAATGCCAAATATTTGTTTCAGTTCATCCTCAGTCATCAGGTGTAGTGTTTTCATTCCATCGTGGTATACCTAATCAAAAGAAATAGATTAAGTTAAGCCCATTTATCTCTCAGTCTGTCTGCTGGTCTGTCAATCCATCTAATCTTGTTGAAAAAGCACGGAAATTTTTCATATCCAGTATCTGTAATAATAAATAGAATAACAGAATACAGTAGCTTTAACTGCACCAAATGCAGTCACCAATTTCTTGATTAAAAAGCATAACACCAATTGCATTTCTGCCTAAGCACATTTGTCAAATGGTTTTAAGTAGCCAAAATACAAATCCAACTCAAAGAAAATTTACAGGATAAAAACCCTCAAGAATTTTGTTTCAAAGTAAAAATGAGCAATATACAATATACAAACAAATAAATAAAATGAAGGTGAAGGTGCAAGATTCAAGATGGCCTGCTTACCTTCTTTACGTTCTGAAGATCTTGTATAAGATCCTCCTCTCCCTGCAACAGTTCATGAATCACTTCTTGCCGACTCATCTCTTTCTCATTCAGCAATTCTTTGATGTTTCCGTCCACGGAGTCTCGCCACAGCTTGCTCTCACGCCGTTCAATCTTGGCTGGCGGAGGTTTCTTGTATTTTGGCGTCTTGCAAGGCGACGGAGCTGGTACCTTGAAACCATTGACTACAGCGTTCTGTAAATGCAATGGAAAAGTGAATGTCCGTACATGCTCATGACTTTTTTCTTTTATCGCTAGTAAACAATATATGGGAAAAAGTTATACTTCCTGTCAATTCTTGGTTATTATACAGACTAAGCCTGTTTGGCTGCTTAAGTCTTGGACTTCACGCCATACTGGTAGATAAGTTTGTTTCTGTAAAATCTCTTTTTATTTCCTTCTCAATGAACACTGTGAGACAGAAAAGTAAGTGTGAAACAAAAGTTCAGTAAATATAAGTAAAAGTACAAATTAAGACTAGGCGGGCCCAAAACACCATTAAAATTTGCTAGCAATTTTCCTGCAAATAATACAGATTTATTTAGTGATGACCTCCTGTAACAGCCCATACCTCAGAATTCTTACAGCCTTCAATTTGCTTCTGTGGTGTCTTGCAAATTCCTGACCCAGAACTTGGCATACGAAAACTTGTGCTCCTCTGAAAAAAAAAAAAAAAAGTGAAAAAATTAATGAATAAAAATACAAAAATAGACAAGTGCAAGAGGTCAGGCCACAGCTTCCAAATAATGACTGTGATCAGACGTGTACCATAAAAAAGGTCAAAAAATAATTATTTACTCCTTGTGAAGCTTTGACACAATAGTGCGCCTCAATGGTAAGCCATCTCATCTCCCAAAATCCATTGAATTCTTTTTTGGCCCATTTGTGACACATTTCAAAAACTTTATCAAAATCCATCCATAACTGTTTGCATAATGTTGCAAACATATAAACAAAACTTACTCTTGGGTTACTGTGCAGGTTTCTCACTTATCACAGTTATAAAGTAAATCCAATTGATCATCCATGCTTACAAAAACAACAACACTGACTGGGGTAGCGCTAGCAATTTTTTTTCACTTAGCCAAATCATCACTTTTTTGTCAATTTGTTATCCAAATGGTGTTAATGTGACTAAAATGAGTCAAATCAAGCCCTTTTTGTTTAGCCAATTTAAGTCAGTTTTAGCATTTGGCTAAATTGGCGAGTGTTAGCGCTACCCCAGACTGATTGCTAGCTATGTCTGTCATTTCTGTCATGACCTAAACATTACAACCGCCAGCTGAGCGATGACATCAATTCTACACTAATAATTCTAGCTGGACAGAAAGCAGTACACAATCAGCAGGAGAAATATCTCGTATATATCTCTTGAAAAATCAATCTGTGTCCCTCATAGAGGATAATTACGAGCTGGATTTTTGCTCACTGTTTCATACCCATTTTTTTGTGTGCTTTTCCCAGGTTTTGGGGGGGGGGGGATATCCAAAATTTCCACCTGTAATTTCCTACAAAACTTCGGGGAGTCCAAGTATGCCTAAAGCCATCATATTTCCAAAAAAATCCATAAGCCCTTCAGCTCTGACTTAAATAAATTTCATTTAAAAAAATATAAAAATAAATAAATAAAAAGTATATATATATATATATATATATATATATATATATATATATATGTATAACTTCAACCTTAGGGTTGCTATATTTCAATAAAGATTATTATCATTATTATTATTATATTATTATATAGCTGTCTTAAAAAATATAGGCTGTGTGTTATGGTGATGCGGGTTGCTGTCCAAATGACAGATGGACAGTTCACTTGGACAACCCTTGGTATACATAGACAGTAGAGAGACCTTTTGACCCAGCCTTGGAAAATGTTTGAGATGAGTCAGATCAGGGATTTAAGTGGCCCTTTGAAAAAAATATCTTAATAATGCAACCCAAAAAGGTGCACAACCTTACATAGGGGTCCCACCACCCAAGTATCTGGGTTTCACCATAAATCTGATCGTTTTTCATCTTTTGATTAAAATAATGATAGCAATGAGTAAGGAAGATAGATATTTAATTTCTATTAGACAGAAAGCCCAGAATAAAAGTTAGTCTTAAGAAAGGCTATGTTCAAACTGGACCAAGCTATTGGTTCAGAACGTGTGCTCCCCTTACCTGAAGAGTGCTGCTCAGTTTCCTCATGGCGTTGACAGGGGAGAGGATATTGGCCAAAGATGCCATGGATTTCAGGGAGCGCTTTCTCTTGCTATCCTGCAACAGCGACAACCAACTCGTGAAAAAATGTATATCCTCTCAATGAACTCTGGCAATTTCAACTTCAGACTCAAACCACTTTTTTTTTTTTTTTTTTTTGCAGTTTGTCTTCTAATGTTTCATTGAAATTTTCAATACGAAAACATAATCTTTGTGAGGTATAGGTATCAATACAATACACTAACTAACTGCACATAGCGCTTAGTGACAACTGAAAGATTATCACAGAAAACCTCCCTTTCTATAATAAGCAGATTATGACAACGTCATGAAGTTTCTCTGCCTGGTTATTTCTAACCCCTAGATAATTGCAACAATTCAACTTCTCTTTGGTTACAAAACACATGCAGTAAACAATTGAAAGAAATGTTAATTGGAGACTGGCTATATTCAAATTAGGAGTCAACAAAAGGAAATAATAAAGAAAAGGTGACACATGAATGTGCTTTCATAAAAATTAAAAAAAATTTTTTATAGTTATCATAATCACTATATGCAGTAGTAAAGTATTAGTAGTAATAGAAGCATTAGTTGTAGTAGTAATTAATGGGTTTTTTTATAGCCAGTTTCACAAGTCTTTTGCTTCACGTGTTCGCAGTATGTTTTGCATGAGGCAATTACATGATTAGCTTAGACCTTGCAAATGGATAAGGAGATATTATGGTCATCTGTAACTTGGAGAGAGAGAGAGAGAGAGAGAGAGAGAGAGACTTACCTTGGTGATATCCAAGCTTTGTATACTGATATTATCTCCATCTTCAATGGCAGACTTCCGTTTTCTTTTTCTCTGTAATTTCAAGAGAGAAAAATAAAGTCTTGCAGTAAAAAGTTTCCTTGCCATCTTCTCCTCCATTCTTTTTGTCACCCTTCTCTCAAAATATTCTTCAAAGTGAGCTTTAAAATCAGAACAATATTCTGGAGAGCATCTGCTCCAGTGTGATCTGCAGTACTGCTCCTGCTTCAACTAAGGTTAAAAAAATTCCCAGAGCGACACAGATTTCCCTGATAGATAATATAAGGCTTCCCTGTTGAACGACTTCTCCGATTTTTTCCCATAAAAACTGAGCATAATCATCTGCAGTCCACGTGCCATTCATTGGAGACACAGTGCCTACAAATCAGGACTGCTGGCTGTAAGTAAGTCCTGATCTAGATTGCTAAAAATGGAGGGAAGACTTCAAAGTGATACTTATCACAATTCTAGCACCTCACCTCGCCTCTAGTCGAGTTAACACTAGTATGTTAATACAGGGACTCACTGACACCACAAAACAAGTACAGTACCTGTAGGGATCCACTTCACAGTAGCATTGAAATATTTTTGTCACATCTATTCCTGTTAATTTGGTGATCGATTGTTAAATTAATGTAAGGTACAAGTCCTTTACTGGAATTTTTTTTCATGTGGAATATAAAAGGTGAAAAAAAAAAAGTGGCCGAAAGCAAATTTTAGCCAGATTTAACCATCAAATATATAGACATTTATACTGAATGCTGCAGTTTGGCCAATTTCCGGTCCAAGTTAGGACTTTGCATGAACAGACCTCTAAGCTGACAGCTAAAAGGGAAGCCATTTCCCTCCCCAAGATCAGATCTCTCAAAGTGTGCATGTTAATCCTTCCTAAGTTTCCCAGCCCAACATCACCCAATGTCTTCAGCCACATCCTGACTCTACCAAGATGACTGCGCTCACAATTCAGCGTTATAAACAACCTCGCGTGCAAATCAAATTAAAACCTCAAAATTCTACAAGGGGAAATGTCATGTTAAAGGTACCAGTCCACAGACAACCAAGAAGACAGAATGCCAGTAATAAACAGAATCCAATCAAGGGACAAGCAACTTATCAGAAAGTGATTACTGAAGAAAAAAAAAAAAAAAAAAAAAAAACGGGGGTATAAAAACACCGAGCACTGCAATTTCAAGGCTCTTTTGGTAAACGTTCTTGTCCCCCTGACACCTATATACATATTAGTACATAACAAAATCATGTGCAAAAATCTTAGACCCCATTCCCATAGATTTAAGATCGATCTATCCCTGTGGGGAGTCTCACTAGATTACTGTCAGCTTAGCTGGCTTAAGCGTCTGTCCCGCCTACTAAAAGCTACAGGGGGGGTAATTAACTATGGTGCCCGCTCGGCTGACTGCAATTTAGCGTGAACCCCCAGGGGGTTAGGTCAATCTAAATCTAAATCTCTGGATCGATCTAAATCTCTGGGAATGCACCCTTACAGTGACCAGGACACAATTACTATGAAGAAAAATTATAAGGACAACAGCATTCCAGGCAAGCCTTCAATAACTAAACCACACTTGTTGCAAATTCGCATGTAAACACATTCTCTAGCATATTTAAAGGGTATAAGTAGTAAAAAAAAAAATAGACATCGGCAATAAAAATGTACTAGTAAAAGTAACAAGAACAACTGCAACAAATTAATAAATTACTTAATTAAATCAGCTTGCATAAAAATATTATAATAATATTAATATACCAGTAAAAGAAGACAAAACTGTGAAGTTTCACAGAAAGGTAAGGCAGCATGAAGTAGACTCCATTTTTATCCACAGTTCTATCCTGAATTGTAATGTTTCCATGGCACAGACATGGCCGTCTGCAGAAAATTTTCCGGGGAGGGGGGGGGGGGGGGTCAAATGACCCCCATTGACCCCCCCCCCTCCCCACGGACGCCCATGGGCACAGATACTGGCACATATTATTTACTGAGTACATATACAATGCTCTGTGTACATTTACACACACTTCCAAAGATATATAAATGTTTCATAAAGGCTCTTATGAAGGTAGTTCAAGGGGTTTAAAACCATACAAGTGTGACGTTCACATCAAGTACTGTACTAGTACTTCCAATTTTGTTTGGTGTTTGAAATTTCTCAACAATGACTGTAAACTAGAACAACCTGACGACAGATTAAGAATAAGAAGTAATCGATCTAAAGATCTGATTCGCTGCCACTTCGAATCATTCACTGTTCATGCAAGCAGCATGGCTGTTTGAAATCACTCTAAAAAGGATAACATTACATGACATGCCATGGAAACAATTACTGCCTAAAAGAAAAAGAGAAGATAATTTCCTTCTCAAGTTAATTGCTGAAGACATAAAATAGGCAACTGGCACACACAAACAGGCTATTTGATTTATTTTCCCCGAAATGACATAATCATTAAAAGAATTTGCAAATAAACAAACAAAATTATATAAAGAATAATACTTACTAGTACTTACTAGTAGCAAACTTTTACTTGTATACAACTTTAAGGAGATATCAACTGGGCATCTCCAGCTCTAACTTGTGGTATGTTACTAACAATAATAATAATAATAATAATAATAATAATAATAATAATAATAATAATAATGAGAAGTACCTATGAACCAATTCAAACCTCCCCCCCTCCCCCCCCCCCTTTTCAATATTGCATAAAGAAAGATCCAATGAATCCCTTGCTTTGGAAAAATGTAGCAATAACAGATATATGTTACAGATCCACCTGCAGACAGAAGGGAATATGAGACGAGGGACATGTGACTTCAGATGCAGAAACATTATATCACAGTGTAATTACTTTATCTGTACTTTTTTAGGTATACCCTCTAGAGTCTACAATTATACAGTTCATGCTGTGATATCATCTGAAGTCTGGCAATAAAAAGATCTGCTAATTTGGATTTTTTTCTTGCAAACATATGAAAACATTTTCATTAAAAAGAGTTTCAATCCTGATATTCAAAGGACATAATAAAAATGGAATTGCTTGGTTTGCCCATTTGCCACTATAGGGGCTAGTTTTACAAAATACTAGTAACAATTTACTAGTATAAATTTACTATTATAAGCTAAGTTAACAGTTGGTCTAAAACACAAACCACAACTTCTTGTTGTAAAACAGGCACAAAATTTATATTGAGCTACTTCTGATTTATTTTGGATCCAAGAAGAAGGCTTGGGTCTAAAAGTTCTGATCTACTAGACCAACAGTTAACTTGCTTGTATCTCATTTGACTATAACTGAATTATCTTGACTAAAGTTGGCACACCAAATTTTACATCTCTGAGAGTCAAAACCTAAATCCAGTCCTAAGTTCTATAAAATTGGCCTTTGCTGACCAGTTATCCAGTACTTAGAACTTATGCAAAGTGTAAGTGAGGGCATGCTAAAACATCCATATAGCCAAGCCTAGACACAGTAATAAAATATGATTAATACTGCGACCCCCCCCCCCACACACACACACACACTGTTGTCCCTGCTGCTGTCAACTACAACTGATGCCTTAGCTTAAAAAAAAAAACAACAACAAATAAAAAATTTGTTATTCCTCAAATGTCAACCATACCCACCAGTTCACTTCTCTGTATTTTTATGTATGAAGCTGGTCCTGGACAGTACACACATACATACATACACACACTGTCACACACATTTGTATTCATACCATTGAGAGTTCCCCCACTTAATGTCAGATCGGCATGTGTATGTCATATCAACCCTACAGAAGTGCGACCATTATGCATAGGTTTTACATCCCAGTGTATAATAACAACCCAGCATTTGTCTCTCATAAAATGGCACAGATTGGGGCCCATATAGAGTACATACTAGTGTGAACAGTTCGTCCTTTTTTTTTCTTTTTCTTTATTTTCTTTCTTTCTTTATTTATTTAGGAAGGGGAGAGAAAACAGGCAGATTTCATTTCTTACCTCTTGAATTTTTACATGCATCCCTGTGTTAACAGCTGGACATTTTTTGACTTCTTTATTTCCCTCACTTATTAATAAATTTAATTTTGAGGGAAGAGAAGCCAGATATATGTCATTTCATATCTCTTTATTTGTACTTTTAAAATTTTTTTCTCCTTTGAAGGGAAAAAATTAGTTCCATCTGGTTCATAATAGATGATCTTCACTAATTTTTTCAGCATTGCAAGAGCTTTAGTTGTCCAACAGAGCTATATCCATCCTAAGGATTATCCTTTTGCTTCATGAAAGTGGAGATCTATCCTGTAGACAGTCCTATGACTGATAAAAGACACTCAAGAGAGTCACTTCATAAAGTAAAAATTCACTCACAATCATACAATCAGACATATATTAAGACATCACACTTATAAATGCAAAGAGTGGACTTAAACAGTGACAAGCACTCTCCTTCCTGCCACCCCTCCCACAGTCATACATGCATGCATGTGCATGCCCGTGCACACACACACACACACACACACTCACACACATTGACGCTATGCACAACTAACAGAGAAATAAATGTACTAGTAATTAGGGTTTTATAATTTTTAATACGAACTGTGAACGATGGGTAACTTTGAAGTATATGTTGACATGAAAAATAAAATATGACTCTAGGACTTTTTCAAATGCAGATCATACACTTTTTGACATACAAGCGAACAAACGGACAGACAGACAGGCGCCGGATAACAGAAAAGCCACCGTGGTCATGCACCATGGGTACAGTATGTTAAAGTCAGCACTATATGCCTTGCTAAATATCTTAATAAACTGAAAACCAGATTGCTAAAAAGTACATATTTATTGGTAATCCGAAGAACTTAAAATTAAAAAAAAAACAAGAGCGAGTCCAAACCTATGCTAGTAGTGTTCATTTGCTCATCACAAAGAGCTGGCTTCAGATGATATTGTATAGATTTTATTCATTTGGATTGTTTTAAGCTGACTGCTGAGGACAATATAACATACTTTTGCTTAAACCACTTTGAAAACCAGTTTTATGCATTGCTT